CCATGTCAGCGGCTGACTTACAGAAGCCTATCAATGACCTACTGGCACACAAGCTGACTTTAGACGTTAAAATTGCAAAATTCTACTGCTTAGCTTTTAATCATGTATATTTTGGTAATTACTTTCCCTCAGTGTGACTGGTGGGATGCTGGGCCTGGATTCCAGGGTAGGGATAAATTAAGCACAGTGGAAAAGATGGGCATGGAGCAAAGGGGCAGACTGGCCTCCCATTCTTCTGGGTTTTTTTTTTTTGGAACCTTGGCCTTCTGTGTCTAGTTCTTATCAATGTAATTGGGATACGGGACAAGGCGAACTTGACCAACCCTCATGTGCCCACTTAATTATGAATCTCCAGGGAACATGGTGTCTAGGGTAGCCCTGTTTCACAGAAAGCCACCGTTAATGCACTTAGCTGGTCAGACAGTGGGGACACAATGAATAGCCCAGGCCAGCATAGGAAGGCCCCCAAGCTATCAGGGACCTGTTTCCTGAAAGCTCTGACTTGGGGCAACAGCTGAGTCAAATGTTCTTTGTAAGCTAAGTGGAAGTCATGTGAAGGCTAAACTTTCTTTTTCTGGCAGCTCTGTGGAGAATACTATACTATCTCCCCACAATAGCATAAATGCTTTCCCCACAATAGCATAAATGTATGTCTTATCTCTTGAATGTAGCCCAGACAATTAAGGGGAGGCGGAGACTGGAACCAGGCTCATGAGAAAGGCCAAACCGATATTATTTGATAACACTGAAGGGAAGGGATGGTGTGACCAAGAATGACCACAGCACCAAGTCACACGTCTTGACAGCTCCTGGTGCAGAGCTCTGCCTGCCTCTTTCTCACCAGTCAAGGTCCTTAGACCCCGGAGTCTTTGAGATATGAAATGGGAATTATACTTTGTCAGAGTGCCAAGGAGACTCCAACAACTAGAAAACAGTTTTAAGGAACACCCATATTACTGACATTAGGACAGGTAGTGCCTGGTTCCTGCTGCCAGGAACTGATGTTTGTTCTCTTGTTGGTTTTCACGTATATTCAAGTGCCCACAAGGGTGTTCTTGCTCAAAAATCCCCATTGCTCCTTCTGGTTGAATGATTCACGGAGAGTGTTGGCCCAAGTACAGTGCTGTTTCAGGGAAAATGGGCTCTGGGGAGTGAATGGGGAACACAGACTCCTTGTAAGGCAGCGTGGCATCTGACACCCTGTGTGGAGAGCATGAGTAAGGCAAGGATTAAATGCCTCCTGGTGACTTCCACAGGGTAACAGACATTCTACACTCCTTCATGTCCTGTGTCAGCAACACACAATGGCTGGGGAGGGGAGGCAGGATGCTCGACGCTAACAGATCACCAGACAAGGCTAGAAGAAATTCTTCTAAGAATCACTCTCTTGCTTTGAGGAACTTCTCATCAGCTTCACATAAAACTCATCAACTAGAAGAATAAATACAAAGCTATCACCAACCACATGCAGCACACGCAGACCTTGTGTTTTCGTTTTGGATGGCAACTAACAAATGTGAAAGGGGATTGAAAAAACTTTTAACACTTTGCTTTTTTCAAGACAGGGTTTCTCTAGATAGCCTTGGCCGTCCTGGAACTTGTTCTGTAAACCAGGCTGGCCTTCAACTCAGAGATACACACCTGCCTTTGCCTTCCAAGTGCTGGGATTAAAGGCATGTGCCACCATTGTCCAGTCTTTTTAACACTTTTAAATAAACATTTTATCCAAACTACTCAAGACTCGTCTTGACCCAAACTCATACTGCCTATTCGACTTGGAACAAACTTAATTAATAAATGCCAAATATTGTCTTTCATAACTTATCACAAAATAATTTTCCTTTCAAACCAATGCTTTCCTGGTAGTATTTTTTTTCTTTTTACTCATTTACTTTAGAGCTGGGGATTGAGCCTTCATACATGGTAGGCAAGGGCACTACCATCACGCTGTATCTTCAGCCCCTTTGAGTTGTTTTGAGACTACAGTATCTCCTTTCTTTTCTCTCTCCCCTTCTGCAGACTGACCATAGGGCCCTGTACAAGGTAGGCAAGCATTCAATCCCTGAGCCTAATCCACCAGCCTGAGAATAAAATGTTCTCTAGAGGAATGTTTATAATAGAAGTCTGGGAGAGTAAGAGCCTTTGAAGGACACATGTCACTTTGTTACAGTCCTGGGGTGACAGTTCTATGCTTGCAGGGACGTTGTCACTCAGGAATTCCTGGGAAGGCCGACCACAGCACACACCATATCACACGTTCTTGTGTTGCCTTCTTTGGCCACTGCGTTGGGTGAACGGGCAAAGATCAAGCCAGTGCAGAGCCTGGAGGGGACTGCAAGCATAGGACTCAGCTGTATTTGTCTATCTGTGCTTGACGTACAGATGTGGAGGTCACACCTCTGTTCTGTGTGTACACCACGGCAGCTGTTGGGTCGTAATTCAGTTCAGAAAGAGAAAAACGGAGCTAACTAGTGTATGGAGGCTACGTGGCTTAGGCAGAGACCCGGTGTGTTTGGGGGGCACCCACAAGCCATGGGGACTCATCTTACATAGGCAGGCCTGAAGCACACACAATACCCGGATGCTGCCAAGGGCAGAGGAGCTGGTGTAATCAATGACAGGTCAGCAACAGGACGTCAATTAGGGGGAGGAAAGAAGCAGAAACGAGGGCCCCTGAGCCAGCCCTGGCATGCAGAGAATGTTGCAGGGCTGTGGGTAGATGCGGCAGGTAGGCAGTTGTCCCCTAAAATCCCAGCCAGAGCCAACTGACAAAACAACCGGAAGAACTTAGCCTGGCTGAGACAGTGACTGCACAGGACGTAGGAGCAACAGGAAGGGCCGTCAATCACCCGGCCTGGAAATAACAGGACTACTGGTTCAGTCTGGGGCCTTGAGAGGCACACAATTCCCGAACTTAGGAACCATTAGCTGTTGCCTCAGATTCTTGACACCAGGCATGTACAGACAAAGCCCAGTTCTGGTCTGCAGTAGCTGTTAATTTGATGCAATTTTCCAAGAAACCAAACACGAACACGGCTTCAGAACATGTGATGTCTGAAGGTTCTATTCTTGGCATTCAGAAGAGTAAACAGTGGCTTGGCTTTGGGACTGGAGCTAAACTGGAGCTAAAGGCTTTTTTTTTTAATAGTTAGCTTCTAAGCAAAAGACAAATTGCTCTGTAGCACATGGTAGAAAGTACTTTTGACTTCCTTTTCCCAAAATGTACAGGGACAATCAATCATTTAAAAGATATTAATAAAATTTATGTGTTTCTGTGTGAATGTAACTTTGGAAAACAAGGTTATCTATTTATTTGTTCAAGGTGAATGTCAAGAGGAGAGTGAGAGAAGCCAGAACTTGGGATTTAGAGATGAGGGTGAGATGGGAAAGGAGGCCTGAATAAGAAACCCCGGAGGAGGGGGAATCTGGAAGGAGGAGGGGAAGGAGAGAGACCGATACATATGGTGGGAGGCAGTTCTGAAGGATGCAGCAAGGACCTGCGTCTCAGGAGAGAAAAGGAAGGAAAGGGAAAGGGAAGAGGAAGAAGAGGGGCGAACAGAAAGAGAAGACGGGGGGGGTGGAGGAGAGGAGGAGGAAGAGAGGAGAAGAAGACAGCAGTGGAGAGGAGGGAGAAGGAGGGGATGAAAAGAAGAATGAGGAAGACGAGGAGGAGAGGAGAGGAAGGCAGGTGGGATTTCAGCCACAAGAAAGGAAGGGAGAGGGAAAGGTAGAAACACACACACACACACACACACATGAGAGACACACACACGCGCACACACACACGCACACACATACACACACCACACGTGCACACACACGCGCGCGCACACACATACACACATGCACACGCACATGCACACACACACACACACACACACACGGGGGGGGAGAGAGAGAGAGGAAAAATAGTGCTGAAGGAAGCAGGTAAGGACCACAAAGTGGGGTGATCCATTATTAGGGTAGAACTGAGTCCCCTCAAAACTCCTATGTTCAAGCCCCACCCCCAGCACCTCAGAATGTAGATGTATTTGGGGACAGGCCCCAGGGAAGACATCTAATTAAGATTAGGTCCCAGGTAGGGTTTAGCCAGTCTCACCAGTGTCTGTAAGGAGGAAATGTGGACTCAAAGACAGAAGTCACACAGGGCAGGGATGTCACCTGCAAGCTCAGGGGAAAGCCACAGGGGATCTGCCTGGTCCTACCTTGGCCTAGTCCTTCCTGGTGAGAAGACAAGTGTTTGAGTGGCCTGGTCTACAGGGTTTAGTCCTACCAAACCGATCATTTGTCAACCTCAGGAAAGAAGACTGACTTTTAGCCTCAAAGCTGACCCTGGAGTTCATTCTGTCTGGGAAGAGTCCACTGTAGGGTGGTGAGCAGCCCAGCATGAAAGGAGGGAAGGAGGAGGAGGACAGGAGAGGAGAGGAGGGAAGGGAGGAGGGAAAGGAGGAGCAAGGAGGACACCCCTGGGAAAGCTCACTCTTGGCTGGAGGGGCCCTTCTCCGCTTGAGAGTTCTGCACTCCTCTAATGTGGGATAACTGCCTGTCACCATCGTCTGTGTGGATAGCCTCCTGTGGCCAGATGTGTAACTTAGTATCTTTTCCTCCCTGGGAATCTCAGGTGGCACCTGGCACAGGTGTGTAACCCAAGTCAGCCAGTGTACCCCCTGCTCACATTTTGAGGTTGAGGCGGCTCTGAGTGAGCAGGTTTCCCACATGCGCTGAGAGGGCATGGCCCAGTGCGATCTCCTCTCCTTGGGCACTGTCCTTCAGCTGGCAGTAAGGGGCACGTGTGTCTATGATTGTTAGGGAAGATGCCTGGAGGCTGAGCTATTAATCTCAGGCCCCACAGCATATGGGCACATCTCTCTCTTCCAAGTCCTGTTCTTACTATGAGGACCACAAAGCATTATTCTCCTTAAGCTCCTGATGGTCATGTGACCAGCAGGACCTCCCCCCCCCCATCCCTCCTGTTTGTGTTCCACCACCTTGGTTCCTACCTAAGACCCATTTCTCTGACAGGTACTGGATCCTTGCTTCCTTCTTGCCACAGTAGGGACCAATGATGAGGCTGGCTTGCTGAGGGGATGGGCTGACTTGGCCACCACACAGGAGGACCAGTTCACACAGCTTGGCTCTTGGGGGGCTGCTGGCTGGTGCAATGAACATCTTCGGCTGATTAGCAAAGAGGGTTCCTTGGTACCTCCGGGTAGATAACTGGCGTTCAAGTCTGCAGACCTGTGGGTAGACGGAAGGAAGTCAGTGTGTGCGGAACTCACTCACTATGGAGAGCAGGTTAATAGACAAGCTCACTTCTCTTTTCAAAAACAAACCCAAGGTAAGGTTGCTGTATCAGCCAATTTCTGTCAATATGACAATGTATCCTAGGCAAACACCACCTGTGAAGAAGGCTTTCTTTCGGCTCATGGTTTCAGAGATGTCGGTTCACGGTTTCTGTGCTCAGTATGATGGCTGGGAACCCGAGCACAGAACAGAGAACAGTTAGGGGAAACAGCACACACCAGTGACCAGCTTCCTCCGAATAATCTCTACCTCCTAAAAGCCCACTCAGTCATGAACTCATGCATAGATTAATTCTGTGATGAAGGTAGCGTCTTCTCAATCTAATCACTTCTCAAACAGCATGGTCAGCTGGAGATCAAGACTTGAACACACCAGCCTCTGGGGTCCTACTTTAGATCCAAACCACAAAAGCTATCCATTCTTGGGCAAATTTTACATTCCCAAGGCTCAAGAGGATGATGACGTGGAAGTGTAGGGAAAAGGGACCAGTCAAAGAAACACACCCTGAGCAGAGCCAAAGAAACCCACTTTGGCCCTGCAACCACAACCAAAGAAATGCACCCTGACCCTAAAGCCAGTGCCAAAGGAACACACTTTGTCCCTGGTTCAGAGTCAGTGAAAGAAATGTACCCTGGCCCTAAAATTGGAGCCAAAAGGCTAAAAAGGACCAGAGAAAGAAACACACTTTGGCCCTGAAAACAGAGCCAAATCTGACCCTAATCCTGTGTAAAAAAGTAACCAATCCCGGAGCAGAGCTCTAGCCAATCTGAGCTCAGCACTGAAATCGGACCAATTCCTACTCTGAAAAAACTTCCCCAACCCCAAGAATCCCTATGTAAACCCTGTGTATGTTCAGCTTGGCTGGTCCAGCTGTCTTCCAATAAACCCCTTTGGATGAGCTTTGGGTGAAGATCTTCTTTTGCGGCGGCGACAGAGCAGAGGTGACCCTGGGCAGAGCAGAGCAGAGCAAGCAGAGGCGACCCTGGGCAGAACAGAGCAGAGCAGAGCAGAGCAGAACAGAGCAGAGCGAGCAGCGCTGTAACACTTGCCCGGGAAACCTTCCTTGGCAGAGCGGAGTTGTTACACTCTGCTCCCCACTCTCCAGGAGCAGAGCTGAACTCTAGCAACTTCGCCCGAGAAACCTCCTGCCTAGCAAAACTGCTACACTAGGCGAACATCCCCAGCTGGAAGACCCTGTCCTGCCGGAGCAGAGCTGATACACCAGAGAAGCCTTTCTCTGAGGCAAGGCTGTAAGCTGCCAAGCTTACTGCAACCTGTGGTGATCCTTGGCTCCCGAGCTCCAGGATACCTTTCCACCTGAGCTGTATAACACTCAGTATCCTTGGCTCCCGAGTGCCAGAATACCTAACCCACTCCTGTTCCATCCTGTCCTGACCCATCCCGAAACGCTTACAGGAAGATGTTTTCCAAAGTGGGACAGAATAAAACTATAGGAATACAAATGTATACAAAAAATGTGATGGCTTCTGAATTATCACAATCTTAAAGACAAAGTACTGAAGAGAAACCAAGTCCATCTTTGGGAGCTGCTTAAGTAACTCGGAGGACTGTGGTGGTGAGGGGAGTATCTACTGCTGGCATGGCCTTTGCCATCATTCAACTCTAGGGGTCCCAGGGTTCTTTGGCAACTGACTAACAGACTCTAACATTGCTTCAGATTGACCACCAGGTGAGATGGCAAAGGGACAGAAAGAGAATTTCCAAGGGAGCAGTTGTGTATGTGGGATAGGATATCCTGGGAGATCTTTCAATTGAGTCATTATGAAAGTAGTTTGAAGGGTGTTTTAGACAGCATTTGAGAAACAGACATGTGAAGCTATACTCCCTGGTAGTTTGGTACAGTTGCTGTGGCCATCTGGTTGACCCAAGGGGCAACGGGAAGGCCCATTGTTTTAAATATGCTTTACTAATAGCAGATTAATAAGGACTCTTTTAAAAGTACACATATCCTTGGAGTTGTTGAGAGCTACGTATTTTAAATATTTTAGTTTGTTACCCCAACAACTGGGATCAATGGCTCAGGGAAATTAGGGGTTTGGATGGGGAAAAGGAACTTTTTTGGAAAGACTAAGCCTTGATGGGCAAGAGACCCAGCAACAGCAAAGAGTAAGTTCCTTAGTTTATACCTCTCATATGATTTTCCACTCAGTTTGCACACTACAGTAGTGTTTTGTTTTGTTTCAGAGACAGGGTCGTGCTGTGTCTGTCAGAGAGGCCTGGAACTCTATTCATATCCAGGGCTGGCCTCAAATTCTGTTTCCTGTGGCTATCACTTGAATGCTGCAATTACGTGAGCATGGCCACACCTACCCCTAGTGTAAAAAGAAGGCCCTACCATGGAAATGTAGCTTCACTATGAGAGTAGTAGGGCCCACTCAATATACTTCAATTTAGCCATAAATTTTCTTTTCTCTTCTTTTCCATTGAATTTTATTACTGGGCATTGACAATGTGCCCTTGACTGGCAACTGCCAGTGGTCTTATTATATCAGTAATTCTTTTACTAAAATGGTGAGGAGGACACCACTATTTCTGTGAGAAGGGCAGTGGGACAATTTGTTAGATGAAGCAGGTCCAGAGGAAGCTACTCCACCTACATGGTGAGTTAAGTGCTAAGAGGAAACTAAGACCATCACTATCCTCCAAGCTACATATTTCAATGTAGCTGCTGGACCAAGCTACATTGAAATATGAGCTCAAGAAACAATATCCAGGGCACAACCATGTATTTCAAACAGTAATTATAAATGTGACCAGTGACTGAAGAATAAGGATAAAGTAAAAAGTCAGTGTTTGTACATTACACATTGCTATCTACTAATTCACTAAAGTCTTTTCTTCCATCATGGCAGGCACGAAACATGGGTCCTATGAGGGTGTGCTACCTCTTATGTTCTACTCAGGGCCCGTTTGCAGCCCAGGGAAAGACTGGACTGATCCAAGTCAATCAAAGATCCCATTTCCTCTGCAGATGACATAATCCTAGCCAAGTCATCTAAGACTAGGTGATATTTGGAGGATGCTTTCATTACTATTGGAACTCCAAATGTCCTTTGGACTAACTAGTCATGTCTATGTATGACACATGTAGTTATTGAACCCTTGGGATATGATGAAAATTGATGAATGGGAAGATGGTAAGTCTAGGATCCTGAAGAAATTAAGTCCTGGACCAACCAAAAGACATATCCTTGTTTCCTTATACTAGAAAGCCAATTCTAAGTGTGTAAGCCACCTACTTTTATTTTGCTGTGTATTTATTAACTCACTCTAAAATGCTAACACAATGAGCCACATAATTACAATACAATATTCCAAATCAACAACAACAACAACATAATCTAGCTTTGGTGGCACCCACATGCAATGCCAACACTTTGAAGGTGGAGGGATGAGGATCAGGAATTCAAGGCCAGCTTTGGCTACACAGTGAATCTGAGCCTGCTTCTGCTACGTGTGACCGACCTTGCCTCAAACAACAAGCAAAAAATGGGATAAGTTCAGTATTTTACGATAGTATGAGCAGTAGGCAGCTTGCTTTTATTTAGGAAGAGGGGAATGAGCCTTTGACATCTCAGAATGTGGAGTTGGTTGCTAATTTCTTTGACTAGTTATTATTTCCTCCACCAACCATATACGTTTGCCAGACTCACTTGGGGTGCTGGTGAGTGATGAGAAATGGGGTTCCCAACTTCAGATGATAATAGTAAAGTCAACAGATTAAAATTTTCTTTTTGTTTATTTACACAGCTGGAAATGAGAGTTGGCATAGTGTTTAAAAAATCTGATTACTACCAGCATCTGGCTCATGCCTTTAATTCCACTATTCTGAAGGCAGAGGCAGGCAGATCTCTGTGAGTTCCAGACCATCCTGGTCTACAAGTGAGTTCCAGGACAGTCAGGGATGTTACTCATAGAAAACCTGCCTTGAAAAACAAAAACAAAAACAAAAAGCTCTGGTTATTATTTAGCACAATTGAGCCTGCACAGGCACTCACTGTTGTGGTTTGAAAGTGATGTGTCCCTCACCGGTCCCAGGCTGATGGCACTGTTTGGCAAGGCTGTGGAACCTTTAGGAGGTGGAGCCTTGCTGGAGGAAGTGGGCCACTGAGGGTGGCTCTGAGGTTTTGCAGCAGGGTGGTTTCCTGTTCATTCTGCTTCTTGAGTACAATGTAGCCATCTGGCCTCCCACTCCTGTGGTCAAGTCTTCCCAGTGTCTCCCCCAGCATGAAGGAATGATTCCCCTTCAACTTCCAGCCAAGAATTTGGTGACAGTAATGAGAAGAGCAACTAAGACCGTTTCTGTAGTCAAGAACGTGAATGTAATGAGGAGTTTATTGCCATAGAAACTGATGATTGGCACATTTCACTTTTAAGAGCAACAGGGCACATCACTGTACTCACTGCTAAGCTCTGGTGAGGCCCTTCCCTGAGGAAGGCTTAGGAACAGGTTACTTGTCAGGGCTTTCTGAAGATAGAAGTCCTTATTAGTCCTCCTTACCTTTCAGACTTTTACCTTTTGGGGGAGGGGAAATAACCGGAAGCACAGGGACCATTGCAGCACTGCCCCTGGAGACACCCCATGCCTCTGACTGCATGTGACCAAACTGCCTACCAGTCACTGATACTGCCTTGGGACCCTGGCCTAGTCTCATGCATTTTCCTTTCTAGCCAAGCACCAAGCACCTGACGGGTGCTTTCTTAAAGTGATTTGAGAACTGCGAGGCCATACACTGCATAAAAGGAAAGCCAAGGCACTGGAAGGGAGGGCTCCCCTGCTGTGCTCCCTCCCCATCCCTTTAGAGGCAGAGGAAGATCATATCCCAAGGGGTCTTGGGCTGATAATTCTCAAGGCTGTCTTAGTCCCCTTGCTACCACAATTCAAGCACTTCCTTAACCTCTAGTTTCATTAC